CGCCCGCCGCCGCCGCTCGCTCAGCTCCTGCGGCGGAGAGCGGGAGAAAGTCCTGCTGGTGGGCGGCGCGGGGTTGCGCGCGTCCGGCATCCCGGGGCCGCTCCGGCCCGGGCGGCGAGGGTGCCCTGCCGTCCATGCCTCCGCCGCCGCTAGCTGCCGGCGTCGCCATGGATTTCGGTCAGAACAGCCTTTTCGGCTACATGGAGGACCTGCAGGAGCTCACCATCATCGAGAGGCCGGTCCGCCGGAGCCTCAAGGTGCGCCCCGCCGAGAGGAACTGCCCTCGGGGCGCGGCCCGCCCACCCTGCCACCGGCCCCTCTCCCAGGCGACCGGCCCGACCTCCTCCAGCGCCCGCGCCATGTCACTGTCTGCCGGCTGTCCCGGGGTCCCTTCGACGCAGCGGGGCTCTGAGTCCTGGCCCGTCCCTGAGGGACTGCGCATCCCTGCCCCGCGACCGCGACCGCGACCCTCCACAGGCTCCTCGGCCCCGCGGTCGGGTGTCCTCCCCTTCGGGTCGGCCCTCTCCCGCCCCCTTGGGGTTTTCTCGGGCGCAGGCGCTTCCACCCCGGCCCACCCTTCGGTTGACACAGCCCGAATACCCTCACCCGGGACTCGCAGGGCCCATCCCCTTCGCGTCCCCGTGCTGATCAGATCAAGCGCTGATCTGTTCGCTGGGCAGCCCGTCCTCCTTCTACTCACGACCGGCACCGGAGCCGTCCTGGTCCGCGTCTTCCAAGCCCTCTCCACCCTTCGTTTCCATCCTGAGTTGCCGCCCACCCCCCGCGCCCCTCCAGGACTCTGACTCCCAGGCCCCTTGAGGAGTCAGCGTTCTCTAGCTCTCCCCAGCCCCCACTGGCGCCCCCACCCCGCGGAGCCATCTTCCCACCCTCCCAGCGATTCCAGCCCCTACTGCTGGCAAATTCAATTTAGGGATTCCGCGCCCCCACCCCCGGTCGGGTCTCCCTTAGCGCTTCTTACTCCCACCTGCCGCAATGTCTCCAACCCTTGGTTTCCTTCCAAGCTCAGATTTATTCCCTTCCCTCCCCCACTCCAGCTCTGCTCCTTTTCAGTCCGACTTGGTTGCAGTCTTGTTCGCACCCCTTTCAGCATTTCCCAAGGTGGATGAGTCTTGGGGTATTGGAGGTAAAAGTGTGTGTATACAGACACATATATAATGTTTGCATCGGTATTATATATATGAAACTATAGCAACGTTCTAAAGCCACGATGTGATTTTTCAAACTGCAATTTGGGAGCTAGAAGAGTAAGAACAGAACAACCCCCACCCCAGGATCACCCGGAGAGAAACCTCTGTGTCCCTAGAATCTCAGATCCTTAGTTTTCATCGTTACTGCTTAACCTGAGAACTTTTCAGTAGTCTTTACTTAAGAGTGGTGAGGGAGGCAAGCTTCATCAGTGTTTGTGTGCCTAATTTGTATTTTTATACTTGACAGACACCAGAAGAGATAGAGAGATTGACGGTTGATGAAGACCTCAGTGATGTTGAGAGGGCTGTTTATCTGCTCAGGTATTTCCTAGCCTTTCTTTGAAGTTGCTGTTCTTTCCCTGTGGCGGCATAGGCAGATGCTTTGTGAGGTGTCATGCTTCCCGTGTGTTAGGATTTTCTTATACATTTGACCAGAGAACTTGGGCATGCAAAACAGTTAATTATGTCATGAATTAGATTAGATGTGAATTTAGGAATTTGAGAGCTAAGATCAGCTAAGATAGCTGATTTATAGCAGATTGCCAGGAGGAAGAGAAGCAGGACCATTTACTTTATCCTTTGTTTCTTTTCCAATTTGCTTTGCTCGTTTAAGGTTCAATAAGTTGGAATGAGACTTAAGGGTAGCCAATGATTGATTTTTAAATTCATTGTGTAGTGTGAGCCTACTATTTACTATATAGGGAAATAATGAACAAATTTGAATAAGTTGTGCAGGATATCTTATAGTGCTATTGTTATATGAGTTTTATAATGTTGCCTGAAAATTGTTTTTAGATTTAATTGAGCCTACTTTCATCTAAATTTCAAACTATTTCACAGTCTCTACAGACTTGCTTTAGGCCAATGGTATTGCAAACATAAGATTTTTCTGAATTACTTAAAATTGTGTTATAGATTTAGCTTTAAAACTTACACAGTGAGCATTAACGAGCATATCAATGGAACTTTCAGAAATGGAAAATGTTTCTGAGGCCTTGTGTGTTTAAGATTTTGGTACTTTAAAAATTTGTTACGTTAAAATTGTGTTAGCTTGATCATGTTTTCCCCTTTTGGTGAATTAGCATTTGCTTTTGTTTTCGTTTATCCGAATCAGATGTGGAAAGCTTATTAGTTACCCCCCAGGATGCTCATCATCCTTGTTGCCTTAGCTTAGATCTACTTTGCCCATTTCAAGGTTCTGGCTAGTTCTGCAGTCCTGTTTCTGGGCTCATGTTTTCCACGGAATGATTCCATATACAAAGAAAATTCCCTCTCAGAGCATCTATTTTCTTATTCATTAGCCAACTAGCAGCATCCTGAGTTTCGGTTAACTTTAATCAGAGCATCTGCGTGCCCATGGTGGAGACCACACTCTGCACAGTTCTATCCTTTTAACGTGGCTTCTGGATCTCAGATTTTAACGTGATACCACCCTCCTCGCCTTTACTAGTTATCTTTGGCAGCATGCCCTTCTCATTTCTACCCGGTTACTTAAAACTTTTATTTGTTTATCAATGACCAATAGATGTGTTTGGTTTTTACGTACAGCATATTACAACCATTAGCAAATTCTGCTATTTTTTTTTTTTTTTGGTTGTATTGGAAGTATTTTGTTCCTTAATAATGAACGTATTTAAAGTGGTAAACAGTAGTTGTCAACACTTGCCTTCTTTCCGGTTCTCCTAGAAGGAGGTAGGCAGTTCATGGAAATTTGGATAAATTTAACATACAGCAGTTTATGGTTTGAAATAAGCTCCTGCTCATTCCTGCTTGGTTCTTTAGAACGACACTGGCTTACCGTTTGAAAATAGAGAGTCTTGCTCTACTTACTTGTGATAGCAGACACCTTATTCTAGATATCGACGATAAGGCTTCTTTTTTAAGGAAAGCTGATTCGCTGTCTACTTTGCTTGTATTGTTGGTTAGAGAACCAGGTCGTCTAAGTTTTCTTTATTTTTTCAGACAGAGCCTGAGCTTGGCTTAGTTGTGGAACTCACAAAGCCCTTATAGAGTCAGACGGGCCCTGTCATTGTTAGAGATGAGAGTTCTAAAAGAGATTTAATGTCTCCTTTAGTTTCCTGTGGCTCATCTACCTTTAAGGAAGCTTGCAAGGTGCCCGGGAAGGGGAACACTGGTTTGGTTGTGCTAGGGTTCTCGGTCTGAGTTCTTCTTTTGTATTCCTACCTTCTCCCCACCTCCTAGGGGAAAGTGGGATTTCACCTTCAGGCCAGTGTCAGCAGGGACCCTGCCAAGACTACCTGAAAGGTTCTTTCTTTCCTGAGACTGGGGAGGGGGCTGGGTTGTCTCATAGCTGAGTGCCAAATTCCTTCTGTTAGGACCTCCTCATCCGCTCTCTCTTGTATTAGCTTTTCTTTTGAATGCAGTTTATTTCTTCTTCAGAATTTCTTCTTTTACTGCTACTGAACTGACTCCTGTTTCTTTCCTCTGTTGGAGATTTTTGTTTTATTTTTGAGAGTTGTGCCTTTTTCTTTTATGATACTTAATATTTATATATTTGTATATAGTCTCTGCTTTTATGTGTCAGATTTGTTTCTTTAGTTGTCTTATTTTGCATATTAAATCATTTGGAATATAATGTCAAATTAGACTTCAGAATCAAATGTGTAAGCATCAATAAAAAGCTTTAGGTTAGTGGAGATTCTAATAGCACTTACATTGACTCCAGTATCTAAGAAAAGTATTACATTCAGAATGCTGTTATCCAATGAAAAGCAAATTACACCATTCACTGTCTTACCCTAAAATATGGCAGGTCAGTTAATTAATGCCATTTTCACAATTTTTTAGAACAGTATGGTATTTGAGGGTTTGACACAGATGAATTTGTGGTTTTGCATAAATATGATGCTGATATACCCATCTGTGGCATTTAGCGCTGAAGCAAAACAATTTTCCTAATAGTCACAGCTTGTGTCTTAGTCAAAAGCATATCACACCATATTTTTCCTGTGAGATTTTTGGCATATATCGTAGGAATGCACTCAAAATATATGAATAATCTTGAGAAGAGTCGTAAGTATTTTACTGTGCTTTCATTAAGTCAGTCTTTGCATATATTGCAAAATGCCTAGTAGCCCCTTAAGTCAGACCTTCAGAATACTCAAGAAATGGGCTGGTGAGATGGCTCAGTAGTCTAAAGCACCTACTTAGAACAAGCTTAGCAAAGCACAGGGACCGCGGTTCAATCCCCCAGCACCACATGCCAGCCAGCCCCGCCCCCTGGTGGGCTGAGCTGGCCACACACACACACACACACACAAAAGAATACTCAAGAAACAACTATGTCTCGGAGTCCCTCACTTTATTTATTTATTTTTTGTCTTTTTGAGACAGGATCTCCCTATGCAGTTCAGGCTGGCCTTGAACTCACTTTATAGCCCAGGCTGGTCTCAAACTTGCAAGGTCCTCCTGCCTCAGCCTTCCAAGTTTTGATATTATAGGCATGCGTCACCATGTCCTGGCAGGTCCCTCAATTTTAACAACAGCTTTATTGAACTATAAATTGAGTGTGTGTGTGTGTTATTCTGGATTGAACCCAGATCCTTCACATTGAGCTGTATCCTCACCTATTTTATTTTTTATTTTTGGACAGGGTCTCCCTAAATCATTAGGATTGGGCTCAAAGTTGTGATCTTCCTGTCTCAGCCTCCCAGAGGGCTGGGATTATAGATGTGTGCTCAGCTGAGCCCTATGATTTAATGCTTTTTTCTATTTTAATTATTTCCTGGGTATTGTGCCCAAGACTTTTTTATCTTGAGTTGTGACAGCAAAATTAGCAGTTTTATCTTTGTTTACACTTTCTTAGAGGATTCATTCTTACTATAGACCTTAACAATTTCAGTGCATTTTTTTCCTTTATTAAGTGGAGAACACTCACATTTTTGTATAAAAGAAGCATTGCATGGGCTCTCTCTGATAAGTCTGAATTGTCATGTGATTTGGGGCCATTTTTAGATAAAATAAAGATTATCTGAACACAAGAATTGCAATTCTGCCAGATGGCACAGATGATGAAAGATTTCATAATATTAATTGAGACGGTGCACTAGTTAGAACTCATGCATTGTTTATTTCTGGAATTTTCCATTTAGTGTTTTCTGACCATGGTTGATTGTAGATAACTGAAGCCTCAGAAAGCAAAACCTGGAGTCAAGCAGGACTACTGTGGCTCATTCTACTTCTCCACTCACCAGTGAGTGGATGTTGGTTTGTTTCCACTCAGGCCTACACTTTTTGAAGCAGCTCTTCTGGCCTCTCTGTCCCTCACAGACAGTGTGGTAGCCCTGACTCCACCTTTCCTGGTCCCACAGCCCCTTTCCTTGTACCTGCCATGTGTGGTCCCCTGCGCACACTCTTGCTTCTGCTATGGCCTTTCCTAACTGCTGAAACCACTTGGCTATGCATCCCTCGTTGGCAGTCAGTGGTTGCTTCACAAGCCTTGACTTGTGTGCATGTGTATGTTTCTTTAATAGACTATAATCTCTTGGAGGACAGGCCTTATTTTATGTTGTTTTGAAATTCTTTTTGCTCTTTGCTGTCATACACATTACCTCTTAATGGAATGAACATGACTAAAATGCTAGATAAAATAAGCCACTCACCATTTCTTTTTTGTGTTGTGGGCAGTCGACTTGGACAGTCTTTGGTTATATGCTAGTCTGTTATATGCTAGTTATCTTTGTGACCGTGGGCTTATGGTTTTTTAAATTTTTTAGGGAAGGGTCTACAGGGTGTTAGGGTCTCACTATTAGATCGGACTCATAGTGATCCGCCTGTTTACAGCCTCCCAAGAGCTGGGATTACAGGCACGCACCACGCCCAGTCTTGAACCCTCAGCTCCTGTGCCTGCTTGCAGGTGCTTTAATCTGCTGAACTATTTGGCTGGCCCTGGGTTTATGGTTTTTGAGCCCTGGTTTTCTCATTGTAAAGTGCAAATGGTAATCTTGGTTTCCCAGAGTGGACCAGCTGGCAGAGTAGTTATCAGATTAACATCCAACCCTTTCTGTCTCCTTTCCAGCTTCCTAGATATGTAAGTGCTGGAGAGGATAACGGTATTGTTTTTCCTTTGAATAACTCAATAAAGTAACAAGTAAATATGTCAACTGAAGTTTGTGATAGATTTCCACTAGCTTTCTTTGCTAATAATATTTATCAGAAACTAGAGTCTCCACCAGGAAGGACTTTTATAAGGAAGCATTTTTAACTGATTGATAGTATGGTGGTGTGTTTTACGGATTTGTGTCTTCACAAATGATTTGCTTTTTATATTATTCATTAAATGTGTTGGTTAATGTACCTAA